AAGGCCGTCACAGAGTAGTGGGAGTGGATCAAAAAACATAGATGCTTCAGCAAGTGAGCTTGCAGACAGAGAATTTCCCAACCAAATAGACCATAATAATGAGAATGATTGCAAGGTTGAGAGCGATGGTGAGGTGGAAGGAATGGATGTAATGGCATCTCTAGAACTCGCAGTGCAGGCAACTAAGCCTCTTGCAACCAAGATCTCCTCTCTGGGACTGCATGATGAGGGCTCACGAATCTTCTATGGAAACGATTCTTTCTATGTGCTGTTCAGACTTTACCAGGTGACCATCAATTTAACATCATATGTGACTCCATTAAAAAAAATCATATGTAACTTCTGCAACATTTCACTTATTCTCTTGCTTTTGTTTTTTTAATTTGGCAGATATTGTATGAAAGAATCCAGAAAGCAAAAATACAATCTTATTCGGATGAAAACAGGCAAAGAATATCAAACGATGGAAATCCTGATCCATTTCTCAGGTTCAGCTTATGTGGTTTTATTTTTTTAACAATTAGATATTTACGCAAAATTTTTACTCCCTTAAAACAAAATAGTCATCTCTAGTCAAGGGACACTTTTTGAATCTTGAGAAGATACAAAAAATCATGGAATTTTACTTAAACTCCCTCCGTCCCAAAAAGAATGCCACACTTTACTATTTAAAAATCACTGGAACTTTTGTTTATTTGCGTGTTTTCATGGATTATTTGGTAAAATGAATTGAAAAAACATAATTTGCGTAATGTGGCATTCGTTTTGGGACTAAATTGATCATATTGAACTTGTCTATGACCATGGTTTTTATTTAAAAAACACATGATAAATTAGTTTTGTTTTATGATATGACTTTTCTGGGTAAAAAACTTCTGAAATGGGACTCTTTTTTGGGATGGAAGGAGACCTCATCATGCGGGGAGGGGAGATTTTCTCTTTGGATCTCTTCTGTACTGAGAACTTTTTATCACTATGAATACCTACTTATTCCTATAACTTCTGCTGCAGATTTATGAATAACGTGTTTGGTCTATTGGATGGTTCCTGTGACAATGCAAAATTTGAGGATGAATGCCGAGCAATTATTGGATCTCAGTCCTATATTCTCTTCACCTTAGATAAGCTGATATATAAAATAGCCAAGCAGGCAAATGCACTTTATACTCAAGAATATCATTCATTCAAAAATTTCATTTCCACATCATATAAACTTCTATCTTTGTTTTATTATTATTATTATTATTATTATTATTATTATTATTATTATTATTATTATTATTATGTATACAGCTTCAAACAATAGCAACCGAGGAGATGGAGAACAAACTACTTCAACTGTACATTTATGAAAAATCAAGATCGTCAGCCACATTCTGCGATGTTATTTATCATGAAAATGTGCGTCTTCTTTTTCCCAACGAGAACATCTACCGAATAGAATGTGTAAGTCTCGGCTTCTCCCGATCTTTTTGTCCACATATTTGATTCTCTGCAACATATTTGATTCCTTGATGTGTGTGAAATGGGACTTGACTTTTGTTCATGAACCGTGATGTACATATTATTGATTTTACAATGTCAACCTTGCAATGAGGACACGACTATGGTACCGATCTCAGTATATGGTCATCTCATGTTATGTTCCCCCAAGTAAACGGAAAAGAAAGCCTCTGACAGTGCTCCCTAAGGAGAAGTTTGTGCCACATATGGCATGGCATAAAATATTACAGAAATTAAAGGAGAAACCGCATTTCTTTATATTTGTTCAAACCCAACAAATTTTTCAAACATATGTAAGTTCATTAGATAAAATAAACATATTTTATTTATTTCTGTTTGTTTTTTTCTTGTGTGTGATTAAGCCAAACACAAGAAAATGACTTTCTTTAGCGGGTTTTTCTTTCCATAGTGTTTTTTCGGAATATACACATGGAAGTATTTAAATTCAGAAAACTTTCTCCATTAAAATGTTTTGCTGTAAACAAACGGGGCCTTAATAAATATCATGACCCAATCCCAAACATAGTTGGCATTAAGGTGATGATGATGATTATGATTGATGAACATGTATTTCTCCACATCAATGGCATATACATATAATTCCGTTGCAGTCATCTTCTGCTCCAACACGCGTATCCATCCAGCTCATGGACCCCGAATACGATAAGCATGAAGTGGGTGGTGGTGCTATTGAGCAACACTTTGCTTCTTACCTTAGCGGCTTTCTATCATCTGAACCAGAAAAACCCAAATTCTTTCTGAATAGGTACTGTATAACTTACTGTTATCTAAAGCTCTATGAGTATTGATTGGTTGGTATTCACATTTATTTCATGATTGCAGATATAAGCGAAAGTTTGGGTACGAAGATGAATCTTCTTTTAAAACTAAGGCAATGGATGAAGTTCTAATGGTCAATGGTCTTGAATGCAAGATTTCTTGCAAAACAATGAAGGTAAACCGTAAACCACAAACAAATAAATTAAAAATTTAATAATCTGTTTTAAGAAGGAAAAACCCCACATCCCAAATGAATTGGATGAACCCAACTTGTGTAGGTGTCATATGTTTTGGGCACAGAAGACTTTCTATTACGGAAGAGAAAGAAGAGGAAAATCGATCAACTGAGTAACCAAACATCCACATTGTAAAGGTATTGTTGATCTTCAACCAATGAGTTACCATATCCCACGAAATTACGTTTCAGCAAAAAAAAAAGGTTCTTTTATGCTCTGGTTTTTGTCCCTTGCCTGATACTGTGTTTCCATGTTCGCCAGCTTGCTGACACAAAAAAAAAAAGGAAGGCTGGGTATTGCTTTTTTTTAAATATAAATAGAAATGTTTTTTCGTATAGGTATTTTTTTCACCATAGTCAATAAGAACAGAGTACTCTGAATATCTCATATGGTAAAAAAAATGTGCAGCTGTAACTTATAACCTTCCTGTTGTGTAAAAATAAAAGAATAATTGAAATCTGTAAATTATGCTCAAGTAATTCAATATACAAATTCCTTTCTAAATTCGGGTTGTATTTGACACAGAACTGTAACTAGTTCAAGTTGAATGTATTAGAACTGTAATAGTTTTAAGTTGAAATGCTGAATGCCTGAGGCTCACTCACCTTCAACAAATTTAAGTATAAAGAATACTTAGTTGGCCATTTCCTATGAGTGAATGCGATTTGTGATGGTCTGATCATATTTTTAAAATTCTGTACGGTACCATTATTGTTTGCACTGTTTGACGCCGTTTGAGTATATGACTTGAACTAATCTGTATCATGTTGTTTCAAAAACGGGATGATATCGTGTTAAATCAATTTCAACTGTAACTCATTAATATAAGGTTGAGAAGATGCTTTAATTATAAAAAAGCAATATTTAAAATTTAAAGAGTTTGGTGTACTAATATATTCATCCATCCTTACTTCATGGAGTTACTCTTTCGTGATCTTAAGAAAATTTGGTCATCCGTGGAATTTAGATTTCTCGTGCTTTTCATTAGCTTGCAAAAGTCTTTTATGTTTTCTTTTACGAGTATCTAAGATGTATAAAATGATTATAATGACCACATAAAAGCTTGCCTATTTATAAGGGTATAAATTATTTATTTAAATATAGTGTCATTATAAATTACGGAGTATTTTTTTTGAATGGTGCAACATATATTTATCCATCTTTACATTGTAAAAATCTACGTGTAATTTTTAAAACTAATAGAGTACTTCATTGTATCTTACTCTCTCTGTCCACCAAAGATCTTCTCATTGTGTATTATGAAGTTTGATCGATTTTATTTTCAATTCAATTTATTTGATTGTAAAGATAATATTTAAAAATAAAACTTATATACTCCCTTCGTCCTGTTTTAAATCGTCCATTTTGATTTTGGGGTATATTTAATGAAGAGAAAAAAATAGAGTTGATTTTATCAAAATTGTCATTACTTTTTAGGAGAGGTGACGATGAATGAGAAGATAATGTAAAGAAGAATGACTTATTTTAGGAGTAGTTTAGGTATTTTACTCTAAAAAATTTATAATAACAAGAAATATGCAACTTATCTTGAGATGGTGAAAAAAGAAAAACATGTAATTTAAATTGGGACAGAGGTAATAGTAAAAAAGTTCATGAAAAGTTTTACAAAATTAGAGGTAACAAAATCATTTTATTTTATGAAATGAATAGTTTAAATAAACAAACAAAGTAAGTTAAGTTTGATTCTGTGAATAGTATCTAAAAAGATTTATGGTGGATGGAGAAAGTATTACTCCCTCCGTCCGGAAATATTCTTCCCACTTTCTTGTTTGGTCCGTCCGGAAATATTCTTCCCATTTCCTTTTTAGTATACTTTTTAAAGATAAATTTCAATAATATCCTTCTATTTTATCTCTAATCTACGTTTTTTATTGCTTTTTTAATAAGAAAAGGAGATTTAAAAGTTTATAGTATGTGCATTTTTGGAAATTTGACATTTTTTTTACTACTTCTTAATAAGCGTGTCAAGTCAACACGGGAAGAATATTCCCGGACGGAGGGAGTATTCTTTACAAGTTAACCTTGAATTGATTTTGGACTAGATTGATTTTCAGTTTAATTGGTTTCATAACTAATTAATTTTGGGTGTGATTAGTTTCGGATCTAATTTGGTCAGTCTTACATTTCGGGTCACATTAATTTTAGGTCTTATTTGGATTTGATTTACTCCGTAATTTGTTCTGATTTTTTTTCTACGGATAATTTATTCTGACTTTAATTTTGATCCAAACATCATCTTTCTTTCATTTTCATAAACCACGAACACAAAATTTCAATTTTTTTAAAACTAATGATTTATCACCAACGAATCATTACCCGATTTTGAGTTCGATCGTTTTCCTCTTGGGTACTCATTTTTCGGGTAATTTTAAGTTTAGTTTCGGAGTGTTTACAGTTCGGATTCGGATAATCGGGTCTATTTGGTTAGATGAATGACTAACGATTCTCCTTTTATGATAAGTGACCTCCATTTTTTGGTGACCCACAATTTCCATCCTTCAATTACCTCCTCCTCAAACAACACCCACGATCCCCTGCTCCCTCCTCCGGCCATGGCTTTCGCCGGTGATTTCGTAGTCTACAACGAGGAAGAAGATCTCGACGACGAAAATGACTACGACGAAACCCTGGATGCTCCCCCCAATGTGATTGACGACGGTGACGATGACGTCGACGACGATGGATCCGCTTCCTCCTCCAATCTCGCCGCCGATCCACTCCCCCAGTCCTCCGTTCACCCACCGACGCCGTCTTCCTCCTCCAAGCCGAGTCCGGGTGTAGTCACGATCGCGGTAGCCGGCGTCTCCAACGGCCCCTTCCGCCCCGATCTGAAGCGACAGCGGATCGAGGACGGTGTTAGGGTCGCCACATCGGAGGAGAAGAAGCCGTTTGCAGGCTGGGATGAATCTCGGAAGCTCTTTCAACGGCTGTGGACCGACGAGGACGAAATCGAGCTGCTGCAGGGATTCCTCCAATACACCACGCAGCGCGGGGCCACCAACTCGTCGCACCACCACCACGACACGGCGGTGTTCTATGACCAGATCAAGAGCAAGTTGCAGCTCGATTTCAACAAAAGCCAGCTCGTCGAGAAGCTCCGGCGCCTGAAGAAGAAGTACCGCACGGTGGCGAGCAAGATGGTCGACGGAAAAGAGTACGTCTTCAAGAGCACTCACGATCAGGCCACCTTCGAGATCTCGCGGAAGATCTGGAGCAACACCGACTCTGCCGTCCGCGGGACGCCCACAGCCGCCGTGGATGACGGCGCGTATGATGATCTAGATGCAACAAACCCTAGCCACACCCCCAATTTCCTCGAACAAATTGCCAACTATACCCCCAATGGAACCGACTCAAAAACGCCTAGCAAATCAAGGAAACGATCAGCAGGAGCACCCATTACCCCTAAGCTGGAAGAAAAACAAACCCTTCTTCCTCCACAGCTCTGCCATCCCCCAAACCCAACACCGGCTGCTACTGCCACGGCCGCCCCGCCCAGTCCAAAGGCCAATGCTTCCAGCACACCGCCATTCAAGGCGGTGACTCTCACACCAGCCGCCACCCCACAAATCACTGGCCCTTCCATTCCAGGCCTGATCGAGGAGACAATGAAGAGCTGCCTGTCTCCAATACTCAAAGAACTGATGACCAATCACTCCGGGTCGAGAGGGTTCGGGTTCGGGCTCGGGCTACCCGCATTCAGCCCGATGTCGCTCGGGTTTGGAATCAACAGCACCATGAGCCCGGATAAATTGATGGCAGACAAATGGAGAAGGCAAGAGATGCTGGAATTGGAAGTGTACTCAAGGAGATTAGAGCTGGTGCAGGATCAGATCAAGGAACAACTGGAGCAGCTGAGATCCATGGGAGGTTGATGATGGAGAAAAGACGACTATCCTGCCCTTCCTCTCTTTTTTTTCTCTTCTTTTAATTTAACAGAACAAATAATAATCCATTGTATTTCCCATAGTATATTCCTCCTCCATTGTATCTTACATATACTTTGCAATGTGAGTGAGAGATGATAAGAGTGTGGTGGATGAATGTCAAGAAGTGTGCTGGCTCCCCTCTCCATATAAACTTAGCTCTATGAAGGACCTAATGGGGGTTAGAAATCTGCCAATGAAGGAAGTCTTGTTTGGATCATTTATAGATTGATTGATTTACATTGCAATGTGGTCTTGCATTCTAATGGCTGCTGTCTAATGTTGTCTTGCTTAGGCTGTTTTCATTCATAGTGTGTTGCTCCTGCGTGTGGCCTGAATTTAATTGGGCAAAGTAAGCAAACTAGCAATCTAAACAAATAAGCTTTGAATGTGCAAATGATGTTTACTTGTATTCTCTCTTGGTGTGTAGACAATGGAATTGTATACAAGAAATGACCTTAATGACACATAAAACAGTCTTGGCAATCGGGTCAATTGGTTTGGTTTTGGTTCGGATCTTTTTCGGATATATGTTATAATCGGTTCAATTCAGTTCGATTCTAGGCTAAATTCAGTTTGATTTCTTTCTAGTTTCAGTTCAAGTTTATTTCGATTCGAGTTTATATCAGTTCAGGTTTATACTGATTTGAGTTTACATCAGTTTGGGTTTATACCGGTTTCATTTGAGATCCATTGATATTAGAGTTCCTAATGTTAGTCTTGTATGTAGTCTCCCCCTATGTGTAAAAGAGATCTATATATACAAGTATCGGCAATAATGAGCCAGAATATTCATCAGTTTGTATTATGATGTCACTATAAATTATATATAGAATGTATAAAAATTGATAACCACCTTAGTTTAAACAATAAAATACGAGTAAAAGATTTGTATATCAAATCAATTGTAACTATAATTCAAACATGTTTGTTCTAGAAAGACATCAAACAATGAGCTATTTGATTTGACTTGATTTGAGTTTAAATTATTTTGAACTTGATCAATATTGGGTATAATTGGTTTTGGGTCTAATCAATTTCGAGTCTAATCAATTTGGGTTTAACCAGTTCGGGTTTAACTAAATTTTTTCAAAAAATAAGTAATATATTAAGACTACATAGTACCTAAAATCTTGAAACCCAGCACTCCATATATATTTATTTTATTTATTACCGATTTTAGTTAAAATTGTGTTGATTACCTTATTTATTTCATTAATTTTTTATGGTTTTATTTATTTTTCTCATTTTTGTTATTTTTACATCTATTTTTTTTATTTTTTTTAAGATCGGACTAATCTTTAAAAAAGAAAAAGAAATGGATTAGAAGACAATTTTAAAAATTTAAATGAAAATTTCAAAAAATTTAAAAAAAATTCATCATAAATAAACTCAACCTTTATCATGGGTATATCCAACGCAATGGATCCAAATCTAGTACTCCGTAGGATATAAAGGTTCAAGATCAATCTGTATAGGTCGAGATTTTTTTTAAAGGTACGAATGTGAAACATTATGGACTCGCTCCAACCCGATCCATTGACCAATTTATCAAAGGAAGTTTATGGAGTATTTTAAAAGCACCTTGGTTTCCATGACATTGAGAACCAATGTCATGGGATGACCCGGGGCGCTCCGGTGCCCTGTTCGTAAAATTGACGGTTCCTACCCCCTAACCCCCTGGTAAACCCCCCTACCCCGACCCGAACACACCCCCCTTCAATTGCACCCCACAAGTCGATTTTGACTTTGGAGTCAAAATTTGACTCCAAAGTCAAAATCGACTTGTGGGGTGCAATTGAAGGGGGTGGGGGGTGTGTTCGGTTCGGGGCGGGGCGGTTTACCGGGGGGATTAGGAGGGTAGAAATCGTCAATTTTACGAACGGGGCACCGGAGCGCACATTGGTTCCCAAATGTGATGGGAACCTTCCCTTTTAAAAGTCCATTTAACAGACAATTACGGGAAAAATAGCCTGAAAATTTCTCCTTATTTGAAGTTCATCTGACAACAAATTCTCATCCATCCCCTGCCGCAACTCGCCGCGCCTGAATCCATCTCCCGGTAAACAGTCGAGAACTCAATCGGACGCCGGAATGGCTTTATCCAGGCCGCGTTGTGTCAATCTTGTGAAGCCGTTGTCAACGGCTGTCCGCCACCTATCGGCGGATTCCGCCGCCGCTATCACCGTCGAGACAAACCTCCCCTTCAGTGGTCATAACATCGATCCGCCGTCTCGCTCCGTAGAAACCACGCCAAAGGAGCTCATGACCTTCTTCCGAGACATGGCTTTGATGCGGCGGATGGAGATCGCCGCCGATTCGCTCTACAAGGCCAAGCTCATCCGTGGCTTCTGCCACCTCTACGACGGGCAGGAGGCCGTGGCGATAGGAATGGAAGCCGCGATTACCAGGAAGGATTGTATTATTACCGCTTATAGGGACCACTGTATCTACCTTGGCCGCGGAGGAACGCTAGTTGAGACGTTTGCTGAGCTTATGGGGAGAAAGGACGGCTGTTCGAAAGGGAAGGGAGGTTCTATGCACTTCTACAAGAAGGAGAGCGGATTTTACGGTGGCCATGGGATTGTAGGGGCTCAGGTTCCACTAGGCATCGGACTGGCCTTTGCACAGAAGTACTCAAAGGAGGATCATGTGAGTTTCTCAATGTACGGAGATGGCGCTGCTAACCAGGGACAATTGTTTGAGGCTTTGAACATGGCTGCACTCTTGGAGCTGCCTGCTATTCTTGTTTGCGAGAACAACCACTGTAAGAAATGAATTGTCAATTTTCTGTTGATTAAACCCTTACGATATGAATTTCATGATCACACACCATGAGAGTCAAATTTACTTAAACCTATGAAATCTCTTGCAGAGAGTTAGTAATTTGGCTGTTGAATATTAGGAGCCATGCAAGAACAAGTTACACCTTTTGTTTATCCCCTTAACTAGCTATCTTTTTAGTAATTCATGTGTATACGCATAATGGAACTGGATGCCTTTTTGTTCTGATAACTTTAATTTATAAGATCATACTCAAAACATAAAATTGCAATTCACTAATATAAACTGTGAAAATAGTTTCTGCAAAGTAGATTAATCAAATGAACCCAATTTTGAATGCATATTTTTTAAGTAGAGATTTTCCTCACCTGCTTCATTGCTTTGCGCTGAATGCCGATGCAGATGGCATGGGAACAGCAGAGTGGAGAGCAGCAAAAAGTCCTGCCTATTATAAGAGAGGGGATTATGTCCCTGGACTGAAGGTGATTATAAGTCATATTTGCTTCTTTCCTCTATTATCTCTAAAGTCTTCAACTTCTATTTATATTTAATGAAATGATGCATTACAAATATGCATATTAGTAATGCAATTAAGGTGGGAACTATAATTAGGACTGTTGCATCAAACACTTCATATTGTTAGACTACTCCAAGAGCTCATCTCGTGCTTGGTGAATGGCTAGTTTACTTCTAGGGTTCTAGATGACCTACCTTTCAAATATCTAATTTAAGAAAATACTTCTTAATGATGTATGGAGTATATATTAATGTAATTAGTTTGTAGTATTTCTTCAGAATACTAAAAAGAAGTAACATAGTCGCCAATAAAATGTTGGTTTAAGGCCTCTCTTAGGGCGTATAGTTGGCCCATCACCGAAGGGGGACCAAAAAGTTAAAGGTTTTACAAGGAATATCCTGAAACTGCTTCCAAGTACCCTGTGGCACCACCAGCTTGTCTTTCCTTATGTACTACAAGAAAGAAAACAACAAAGAGAATGCAGCTGTTTAGAGACGTCAGTGCCATTGCCATTCATGTTCTTTGTGGTGTTTAATCTTCCAACGCTTATGTGCTTTGTATAACAGGTGGATGGAATGGATGTCCTTGCTGTGAAGCAAGCTTGCAAATTTGCCAAGGAGAATGCTCTGAAGAATGGGCCACTTGTGAGTACTTATTATTCCGTATAAGTAAATATATTTACTCACGATGCCCCAAAAAAAACTCTATGTTTTAAAAGCCTTCTTTAAGTTCCAAAAGGGAGTCCTTTTCATGAGATGAGACTCATTTTTCATGTAATCTATAAAAAACGTTGCAAACAAATTCACTAAGATAAATTTAGTTAAACTAAAAAATGATTATATAAGTAGAATTTCACAAATTAAGTGTTGTACCTTCCCAAAGTTTAAAAGTTGTGCCTTAATCAAATACGACTCTTTCTTGGGATGGAGGGAGCATTTGGTTTGATTTATAACATCACTTATTTGATAGGGAAAATGAAACAATTAGAGTCTAAAATGTTGTTGTCTGAGATAATTACTTCTTTCAGTTTAGTCTTCATTGTCATAATTTGAATGATTTGGCAACTTTCAGATAGTAGAATCATAGGAAAGGATATCCACCATTACAATATGCAGTAAACTGAAACTTGTAAATCGAAGTATCCCATATATTGATTGACATTTTTGAGAAATTTCTGATGTGCCTGTAGTAGTAGTAGAATCCTCGAGATTGATTGGAATTCTTGAACTTTATACTCCATATTTTTTTTACCTACATCAATATCGGTTTTGATTTTTATAATATCTATTCATATTTTCATTCAAGTACTTACATTTTCATCTGTATAGCTATTTTCAACCTGGCTCTTAGCTATTGAAACATCTATCAATGAGTAGTATAGTGTTGTTGATAGTGTTAACAAGGTTAAGTTTATGCACAGATTCTTGAAATGGACACCTATAGGTATCATGGGCACTCCATGTCTGATCCTGGAAGCACATACCGCACACGGGATGAAATCAGTGGAGTGAGACAGGTAAATAGAATCTGAAGACGTACCTGAATATTTATCTATTATGAGATTATGTGATGTGTTTATCATTTGTACTTTGTGCAATGCAGGAGCGTGATCCTATTGAAAGAGTCAGAAAACTCATACTCACTCATGATATTTCCACTGAAAAAGAGCTAAAGGTAACTGATGATCATACTTTAATTTTAACATTCTATGTTTGGTGAAATTGCTCATTTTTGCCATCACAATAGTGATCCCTGCTAATTTTAGTTGCCAACTTACCATAGCAAATGCACCCTTTATCTGGTAGATATGGTGTAATAAACCAATATAATCACATCTTATATTATTCTCCAGGATATTGAGAAGGAAGTCAGAAAAGAGGTAGATGAAGCCATAGCAAAAGCAAAGGTGAGAAAACATGCACCATCTGTCCCAAAAGGTGTCTTGTAATACTCCGTTTTGTTCAAATAAAATTTATAAATCTAAAAACTACATCAAATGCTTTATAAAACAAGATGTGACATGCTTGTGTAGTTTTAGCAAATGATTAACAATTATAAGTAAAGAAAGAGTATAAACTGACATGTGAATAATGCTTGAGACTTTAGTTTTGGGATGGAGGGGGTATAAAAATGCAAGTATGATTCATAAATTATGTCGGTTTTACCTTACCAAATTTTAGAAGTTTTACATTGGTCAATTAGAACTCTTCCCTTTATCTGTTTTATCTTCTCATTTGTTTGTTTTCTTGGATGTACCTGGTTAATCTTCCCCTTACCTCTCCTTTTTAGGAAAGAAGTATGTGGTCTGTAATTTTGTATTGTGTTTTTTTCATTTCTAAACAATTCTCAACCATGCAAATTCATTTTTCTTGAACTTCGTGCAAAGTTGAACATCTAAAAGAGATGGAGTATTATTTTGGAAGAGTAAACACTGCGCTTGTTGTTAGCACATGTGATAATATCCTCTTTATTTGCAGGAGAGTCAAATGCCAGATCCTTCTGAACTCTTTACCAATGTTTATTCCAAAGGATTAGGAATTGAGGTATTCATTTGATCTTGTAACTTGTTAAATCAGGCAATTTTAAATCTACTACCATATTCATAACTAAAAAACAGTGAGGAAGAAAGTCTGTATCAGGAATAGTGTTTTGAATATTGTTTTCTCGCACTCATATGAGCAATCCACTTGCAGCACAAATATGACATTACTCATAATGAGATGTTATTTCAAATCCGTTGTCCTAGTGTGTTTTTGTCACTTGCATGTAAATTATTGTGAGATGTTGATGAGTTGAGAGAGATCTTATAGTAATGGCCTATTCCAGAATTGATAGTGAAGTCTACCTGCATCTTGGAAGATAACTGCCATTAAGCACAACCACAACAAACCCACTGTAATCCCATCTAGGGAAACCCTTTGTTTTTTACAGGGGAAAGGTTGATAATGTACATATTGACCATTTGACCCCCAGACTGCCATTAAGCACACAACTGTTAAATTCTCATAGTGATGTAGACAATAGATCAAAAGGGGCACTTGAACTTGAAACAGATTAGCCAGACATGGACATATAGTTCTATGTGATAGATTCCGAAAAGAAATTATTTGTTGGCTCACCTTGTTAGTGTTTGATATATGTACATGATATGCTCAGGCCTTTGGAGCAGACAGGAAGGAATTGAGGGCAACACTTCCCTGAGAAGAGGTCTGTACAAGTTCATCAATTGGCCTCTCCCTTTGAAGAGATAAGAAAAAGGTAAGCCGGGTGAATAACATATGCGATTTATTACTCGTTGAACATTTGGATTCCTCATTCATTCATTTAGCACCATTGATTCTTTGCGGTACGGTAGTTCGATTATGTTTTTAAAAAAAGAATGTGCCCTCCCTGCTACCGGCATATAGACATTTTTTTTGCTCAATAAGGAATTTGTACGATGTACATCGATCGACTGCCATTGAATTTCGCTATTTTTATTGTTGTCTCGCTTCTAGCGGCATTATTGGTTGATTTGAATCTTTAACCTGACATTAACGTCTTATTGACCTAGAAGTCATAGATTCAAGTGTTATTTTAAAAGAGATTCAAATGTTATTCTCACTTAGATATAGAAATTTAATGTTCACGTGTAAGTTTTGATTAAAAAACAAACCTCACATGCACTTGAGCTTGTGTGTTTGAGTATAAAACTCTCTGATATACAACTTCGAGTTTGAGCTTTTGGTTGATTTAGTATTCTTAGAGGGTGTTTGGGAGCGTGGTAGATTATTGAAAAAATAGAAGTTTTTAGTCGAAGTGGAAAATAAATATTTTTAACTTTGCTTAAAAGCATTTTTGAAGCCCATTTTAGACTGCAGAAGTCATTATAAGCAGAATCAGATTGGCAAAACACGACAAACATTATTTTAGTAAAACAGAAGCTCATGAGTTTACCCTTTTTTAATAGTAGCCCAAGTAATGCTAATGGCACTCAAGTGTCACACATGGTTTGTCAAAGTAAGAGTTTGTCATGTACTAAAATACCCTTTAAACACAAGTGCAAACCTATCCTCCTCCATGGACTCAATGACCACCAATGTCCAGTTGACTCCGGCCCATGGAAACAGTACCTCATGACCGGGTCTGCTACTTGTTGGTCAGTTGGTCTTGTTTTGTCTGATTTTTTGATTTGTTTTTTTTTCATCCAGTTATTTTTAATTTGGTATTTATGAAGTATACCTTCTCCTCCATCCAAAAATTATTTACAATTTGAATTCAAGAAATCTAAAATGCGTTAAAACAAATGTGTAATATCAATTTATTTATACAAAAAAGAATTTGGTGACTCAGATAATATCAGTGTGTAACATCAATTTATTTATACAAGCTCTAAAACAAATGTGTAATATCAATGGATATTATATTTTAAAATAAAAACTGTAAGCTTTTTTTAGTATTTATTATTCCGTAATAGATTTGAGAAGATATCCCATATGTTTTGAATTAGTTTTCTTTCTTTGGATTTACGAAGACTAAAAAAAGTATTGAAAAAATTTAAATTTTTTTAAAATAAAAAAAGAGTAAGAAAATTACAGAATTTTAAACGGGGTGATAGAAAGGGGAAATTTTCATGAGAGGAAGAGGAGTGAATATCAAAATAATCATATTGGGAATGCAGAAGTCAAATCATTGTGATGCATCAATGAATGGCAATAATTTTGAAAAGAAATAAACTGTGCTAAAGTATTGAAAATGCAAGGCTGGAAGAGAATGATAATAAAGAGAATAATCCGAGTCTGGAAACAGCTAAGTTCCCAACTCCCATTAACTCCTTGACACATTTATTTTATTTTCTCATTTTTTTTATACTCCCTCCGTTCTTTTAAATCATTCTCGTCTTAACTCTGGGCAAAAATAAAAAATGTAATTTTAGTTGACTTTTTCATTTTACCCTTGATGTTATGGGTAAAAACAAGATGTGATAATTTTGTTATTAGTGAAAAATATGATGTGATAGGTAGGATATGAAAAAGTAGGGGTAAAAGTAGTTTTTTTACTAGAAAGTGAAAGTATATTAGGGAATTGGAAAAAATGGAAGTGAAATGATTTTATGGAACGGAGAGTATTTCTCCACTTTTCTTTGCAAAAAAATTAATGTAGAGTCATGATTTTTTTCTATTCTAATTAGGTTTTAATCTTTTTGTAAAGTTAATTAGGGTCATTTTTTTATATTTCTCCACTTTTCTTTACAAAAAAAATTAATGTAGAGTCATGATTTTTTTCTATTCTAATTCTAACTAGGTTTTAATCTTTTTGTAAAGTTAATTAGGGGCGTATGAGGTTTTGTTATGCCATACCACGTTGTCGGATATCCATTTTGCTGTAGGCAAATTATTTGATGGTATAACATAAAAGAAATCTAATTATGAATTTATAGAGAATTTGCAAATTTATATTATACATATAGACCTTAAGATTAAAATAGCACAATTCTTTGTTACAGACTTTAATTTATTACTCCCTTCATTTCTAACAGATTGTCACAGTTTATTTTTTTAGTCCAACTCTGACATCATTTGATCATAAATTATAAAAAAACATATTTGGTTTTAATGTAAATTAGTAAAATTAGATTTATTTAAAATATAATTTTGAAATATTAATTTTTTATAATATTTAATTATTTTAAACTATATTTAATTCGTCATCAAAAGTGTCACACTTTTACCAAAAAGTCAAATAATGACAATCTTATAGGAACGGAGGGAGTAAAGGTTACTAGGTTCTAAAAAATTGTAATTACAGAAGAATACTTTATTTCATATTTTAGAAATGAAAGTCCGACTAATAAAATTTCTCTATCCTCTAAATAAATTTTAATCATGTGCTTTTCATTTTTTAAAACTTCATTAATGTCAAACTGCTTATGGATACACTTCTTCTATCGCTTTGGATATGCATAAACAAGTACCCACGATAAAATTTTAAATTTTTTCAATTCATTTTATTTAAAGTTTAAAAATTATTACAAAAATAAAATAAATTTACATATTTAAGTTTTACAAAACAAGAAGTAGCAAAAAAAATTTATTTTATTAAAGTTGAAATGAAAAAAAATTAAAAAAATTTATCGTGAATTTTGAATAGCTAGTGAAATATGTTATTCTTTTTGGGATGGAGTATGTGTATTTCATACTCCCTCTGTCTTAAAATAATATTCCGTACGTAAATAACGTGTTAAATGTCACGAACTTTAAAATCATGTTATTTAAAAATTAATATTAAAATAAAAAATAAAAACTATATATTTAAAAATAAATCAAAATAGATGAACAGTTCCAAAAGTCAAAAGTGGACGAATATAGCGGGACGGAGGGAGTACAAAATAAGCTAGAGTTGGCAAAAAAAAATTTAATTTACTAAATCATCAATAAAAACATGCAAATAAGTAAAAATTATTGAAAGATGGTAACAGTAAAGAAGAAATTCAGATTAGATTTGAATTCATTCATTTTTAATTCAATTTTAGCGGCTAATTGCGTGTTCATCCTTCTTCAAATTTGGTTCTCATCAAACCAAATTGAACTGTCTAAGTGCATCTTATTTATGGTGAAGTGTTGAATAAGTTTATAAATTTTATGAAGTATTTTTTGCGTGACTGTAAGATTACTTTATTTAAAATTTTTGACAGTCTAGTGAGAGTGGAGGACGTACGGTAGGTACCGTCCACCGGCCGGCCATTAACGCTAATTAATTATTACTGTGGTGTGGAGAGAAACAATGAATGACTGATTGAATGAATGAATAGAATCCTAAGCTATATATATATATATATATATATATATATATATATATATATATATATATATATATATAGGGTTCCTCTCTCCCTTCCATTGGTAATTTGGTATGTACGATGTATAATGGGAGGATTTTGTGTAATGGCAAAGGTAGAAGAGTCTTTAGGGATAGATCTAAGTTCGATTTCTGGTATTGTGATCAATCATGCTAAGTATAGGGTCTCTGCAAATATGTAAATTCTGTTGTTTTTTAAAAAAGATTTTATTAACGTATTGTTATGAAAATAAAAAAGTATAATTTATATGTTTAGAAAGTATCAAAATTCTATTAAATAAATACGGGAAGGTTCAAGTGACATTGGACCTTAATGTCATGGGATGACCCGGGGGCGCTCCGGTGTCCCGTTCGTAAAATTGACGATTACTACCCCCAACCCCCCCGATAAACCCCCCACCCGGCCCCGACCCGAACACACCCCCCCACCCCCTTCAATTGCACTCTAAAGTCAAAATCAACTTGTGTGGTGCAATTGAAGGGTGTGGTGGGGTGTGTTCGGGTCGGGACCGGGTGGGGGTTTATCGGGGGGGTTAGGAGGGGTAGGAATCGTCAATTTTATGAACGGAGCACCGGAACACCCCCGAGTCATCCTATGACATTGAGGTTCAATGTCATTTGAACCTTGGTGAAATAAATAATGACAAGTCTATTTTGTTTTTCCAAATGATTAATGGAAGTGTATGCAGAAACAAAAAGCAAGATCTATTATTTCCGAAAATTCCATGCTTAGCATAGTTAACTCGCACGTCCCCACATAGTTTTTTTTCCAATGCAGCACTGTTTGTGGCGGGAGAAGGGAGGAGGAATAGGGGAGCACGTGATCACGTGGCGGCAAACGGAGTAGATGCAACGGTGGTGTACTGATCTCTCTGCCGTCAACGTCAACATTATTTACAAAGAGCACATGCCAGCTGGCCAGCCCTTTGTCTCCTTTTGCCCATCTGGCTCTCCCCCTCCATCGAAGGCAATCTTTATTCTTCACTAGTTCACTCTAGGGGTGGACACGGTACGGTTCCGAGACGGTTCCGGTTCCGGAACCTCCGGTTCCGGTACCGCCACCCCGAGTAACCGGATAGTATACCGTGCCGGCCGGTACCGGTTCCAGTTCCCGGACCGGCAGTTCCGGTACCGGACCGGCCGGTTTCGCCCCCCCCTATTTTTTTTTTAATTTTTAAATTATAAAAAATTGCAATTGTAAAATTGCAATTGTTTAAAAATTGCAATTGTTTAAGGAAAGAATGCAATTGTTTCGCCCCCCAC